TTTCGAAACGAGCCATGGGTGGCATGATGCCAGTGGTGGCATAGACGGGGTCGAACTCGGCAAATTCGAGAAGGAGAGGGCCCGAAGGCTGGGGCCCGATCTGCTTTCCCATAGCCGCCAAGGCTTGTCTGCTCATCAAAACAATATCCCGAGTAGCGGCAGACTGGGTGATGGGCATGGAGTTCAGGTTGGTTAATGACGATGGGTCGATTTGTTGAGGTGTTTGCATGCGAGTCGACTCAAACGAGCGCAGGTCCTCTGCGGATGCCATGGATTTGGAGAGCTTCGTACGGCTTGACGACGCAGAAAAGACACCGGAGGAGCGGGTTCTAGACAAGTCGTAGAGCGTGTCGACAGAGGTGGTGAGGTCGCGGATGAGATCCTCAAAGCGGCCTTTGTCCCATGCGACGATTGGAACCTTCTTGTCGCCGGAAGACTTTTCGGACGCCTTACCGCCGCTGACAAGGGCTTTTGAGCTCTGCCATAGTGGCTCGGCCTCGGCGACAATGTCGTGAATAGTCGAGAGGATGCTGCCTACGACCTCGCTCAGACCGGCCTTGGAGAGCGACTCGTCGATTTCTTCGGTCTGGCTTGGATCGGACCATTCCATTCCCCAGCTTACGAACCGATCCTTCTGGATTCGCAGCTTCCTGTGAAGGGCCTTGATGTCAGGGTCCTCGGCATTTTGAACGGGTTGGGTGAGAAAGTCGGATGACTTTTTGGTGTCGTTATAAAGCCGGCTTAGTCGCCGGTGCATGGGTAGCTGATAGCCCCCAGCTGGAAAGACTGAGTCCATAGCTGACAATGGTATGGTTCAAAAAGAAAAGAGCTGTTGGACGCTGTGTTTGGAACCAGAGGAGGCGTATGTCATTGCAGGGCGAGCATAGTCGCGAAAGATATCTGGATGTTTGGCGTGGGCGCGGACACCAGTTCAAAAGGGCGCGGCTGTTGAGATCGGCAGGCGCAACTCGGCGGGGACCACGCCAGGATTTTTGATGAACAGAGTTTGCCCAGGTGTGAGGTGAGTGTGCTGAAGAGGCCGAGTGGCAGTGATCTTTGGTGAGTGTCGCAATGTGTTGATGATGGGATCTGGTGGTGGTGATGATGAAGAAGAGCCTACTTCGCAGAAGAGGCAGAGGGAGTGTATGAGAAAGGAATAATCCTGGTGCCTATCGTATAGCCAAATCACCCGAATGCTGTCTATGGCAACGATGAAGAGGGCCTTGGGGGTGGTGTCTTGGACTCGTGGTAAGAGGACCTGAGGATGTCGTCGTCGCGGCGGCTTTGGCGGGGCTGATGCGAGGGGCGAAAGCTGCTGCCTGACGCCAATCTGTTGGTCACGCTGTGATTGGCCATCAATTCGGAAGCCTGCAGGAGTGGAGCCGGGGCTGGTGGAGCACAAAGCTTGCTGAGGTGCACTAATAATGCACCAGAGCTTACGTGGTTGCGTGGGAGGCTCCTGCAAGGCTCGTGCTGAGAGCGCGACCAAAGGTTCAGTCACGTGCGCCCATACTCGGTCATCCCTTGTGACATTGCCCTGAGTACCGGCTAAGGTCAGGTAAAGTACCTAGGTAGGTTGGTAGTCAGGGGTTCAAGGCAAGGACACGGTCAACGGCGGTTGATCCGATTCTTTGAGAAAGAAAGCACCAAGGCATCACATAATTCATTGACCACTGAAATATCGGGACGCTGCGCGGAGGCCTGAAAACAAGCTCATCCGACTGACCCTGACTCCGGCTCTCCATATGGCGCATCGCCAGTGAGGAGGACACAGTGCATCGGCCAGAGACGGGTTCTGGGTGCCCGATACTGCTGCCTACCATTCAGTTTGCTTTCAGGGTCTGATGGGGAAGCTCTCGATCGCTTAGCTTGGGGCTCAACACACCACACGGGCTTGGGCCACCACCTCCACGATGAAGACTTGTGATATTGCCTCTGGTCATGCCCACAAGGCAATGGGCAGAGAGGTCTATGGAAATTAGACATCGCCTTGTTGTTCGGGCATACGTACTCCTCAGTCAACTTTTGCGAGCTCAGGAAGCTCCTTCATTCCTGGGAGCTCATGGCATCAGCCACATGTCAAGATTTCCCCTAAACGGCTGCCTGGATCTCCACTCGGCCGGAACAGCCCACAAAATCCGACAGAGAGAAGGATGTCAAGAGCTTAATTTATGGGCGCTAGGAGCCCGAGCTTTCTCGAAGATTACAGGACGCACAACCATCCATGTGCTTCGGCGACGTTTGCTGGCGTCGTACTGGAAATTCGGCGCAAATCTCCACTCAGCTGACCGAATCGTGTTCACTGCAATCCAACAAGGAGGTCGAGCAGAACAGCACACATGTTTACCTAGTCGTTCGGCTCGTGGTGGTTGGGGAATGTGCCCCTTTAGCTAACCGTCATAACATTAGGAACCTGGGGCCATGTCACCTGAATGATTTCGTGATAAGCGAATACGTGCTTATTGCATTTGAAATCTCGAATCCCCGCTACGACACATTAATTTTGACCACGATCAGCATTACAATGGGTGTACTGTCATACTCTTACTGTGACAAGGGTCTCTCGCCTCGGCCTGCTTTCGGCCCCATCTCGATCGTACCCTCAACGTGCAGGAGACGGAACACCTACCTCGCAAGTGGCAGCCTAGCTGGCCTTAAACTGCGGGCGACGACCGCAGCTAAGGTTGCTGCAAGTGTCACGTCGGATACTCCGGGGCCACAGGTATTTCAAACGTTGCTGCCTGCCTCGTCAAAAACTTGTGTCAAATAACGCTCCAACTGGTCAAGCTAGGCATGCCAGTGGCCAGGATGCGCCGCGCCGCTGAGTCCCGATGAATGCAAAGCAGAAGAGAATAAAGAACTGTCAGAAATCCTTCCTATCTTTGGGAGAACACCTGAACAACGATCGCTTCAAGCAGTATGCCAACGACTCGTGACCTCGTGGGACACATCGAGCCCGAGGTGATGTAGTAGGAATAAGCGAAGCTATCTAACCCCATAGCGGCTTGAGATTTGACAATTTTGGATCCTTGACCAGAAACCAAACTTGAGTGTACTCAAAGGGTGACATTAACAGGCGAACTCTCGACGCCATGGGTTACAGGGCAAAGCTTCGATATTGAAGTACAGTATCAAATCGAAATAAAACTCCCCAGCCATCGCCTGGAGAAGACAAGTTTGGCGACTCAGCAGGGCGAGTAGACGAATCTCGATGAGACAGCCGGGTCTTCTTTTTTTTTTTTTTTTTAAAAAAAAAAAAAAAAAAAAAAAAAAGAAATAGGTTCTATGTTGAACCAATATTAGGGGATTCCCTAGGGCGGTGATTAGGATGGTGATATCTGGGATTCACAGCTCTCAGGAGCACGTGAATCACGGCTTACGTGATCGGCGAATCAGACGGGTATATCTGACTCACGTAGGTAGCGGTAATTCAGAGATAGCATCAATCAATCAGCCATCAAGAGCCTTATATCACATACCCTACCTATTCAGAGCTCGCAAGCACAGCAGAAGCACTGGATTGGGGTTCACATAAGCAGTGAAGCCCTCTCAACATTCTAGGAGATTAACAGTTTCACCAAATAAAAAGCCATGGACTCAGTTGCCCCTTCGATAAAACAATGAATCAAATTTGACCACTACACTGTATCGCCATTCGTTTGAGCATAATATTCAGCTCAACAGCGTGATTCTGCATAGCCGTGATTATGAGATTGGTGGATTTACAGAAGGGTCAAGCGCGAGAAGCACGCTGATTCGCTCATCTGAGCGAACTGAAGTCGCGGGGTCGGCAACAGTTTTTGTATACGTAGATATCCCCAATTGAGTCACACCTCAACGATACTTCGAGCTTGGCACAAAGTTCTGCAACTGTGAGTAGTTTGATCATACGTCTAGTTTGCCACATATGGCTTTCGTTGAAATAGAGTGGCTAACGGTCTCCTGGGTTCTCTGAAAACGACCATTCACGCGCCCTGTATTTACCCCGCCATGGAATACATCACCCTTCCACGCTCTCTCCCCTCCGAGACACAATTTGATCGACTGGTCAATAAATACAAAGACTTTCGGCTCTTGTCGATGGCTCAGTCCCCTGGCAGCTTCGGGTCGACACTTGCAAGGGAGGAGTCATTTCCCCGAGAGACATGGGTGTCCAGAGTAAAAAACCCGCTGGCAACCAATTTGGTTGCTGTTGTGCGGCCCCCAGGTCTGGATAGCCCTTCAGCGGAAGGAAAGCTCGAGCTGATATTGGAGCAACCGTGGCTCGCATCGCTGACGCTCGTGGGGCCGCTGGACCCGGCTAAAGCCGAGGAGATGTATGGGAAGGCAATGCATATTGCGCCCGGAATGTCAAGTTTTGGCCCTGCTGAAGAAGCCACAGGAATAAAATGGCAGTTTGCTTTGAACGCTATGTATGTCGTGCCCGAAGGTAGGGGTCGAGGGTTGGCCAAGGGTATTGTTAAGAGTGCATTGCAGCTTGCGGTCAGTATGGGGGAGGGCCAGGGCGTAAGGGTTCTTCTTCTTGTTGATCATGATAACGAAGCTGCTAGAGCTGTGTATAAGAGTTCTGGATTCGAGGTCACGCATAGGTATTGGTTTGACGATCACCGCGTAGGTAGGAGTGGCCGGACGGAAGCAGCGGTCATGAAGCTGGACACAGACGGCCGATGTAGCAGATAGCCTCTGGCTGAAATTCACGCAAATTATTCTCTCAGAAAGTCACCGATCACCACAGAAAACCATTCACGGTAGATTTTGAGGCGCCTGTTGCGGTTGAAACTCGAGGAAAATATTAGTTGAGTCTCAAAGTCCATGTGAAAGACTATGACACATCCGTGGAACTCGCAAGTGGCACGCCAGTCGTACGACGAAGTGAAAAACTCTCGGATGACAGTTGTTATGTATGTGTATCTACTCGGAAATCTGACTCCTTGCTTATGCGGATAGCGCGCCATGAGCATTGCAATCACGCTATCACGCCGTCACGCTAATCGCTACCCCTAGTTTCCAATGCGACCAACACCGTAGTTCGCAAGGACGTGACCCTTGACGTCACCGTAACGCAGAGGCTGCACAAGGTTGGCCTTGTACTTACCAAGCTCGGTCAGCACACTGTTGTCCTTGCGTGCCGTGATAGCGCCCGACGCGGTGATGGCGTTGATCTCGCAGTTGCGGCCGAGGTAGGATGCGCAGTTGGTGCGTGACGCGTCGTCGGGAACGTTGTAGACTTTGCCGGTGCTGCTGGCCGGGGTCATGGGCTGCGGCTGGTTCTCGAGGCGATTGCCCTCGATGAGGACGCGGGCGCCAGCAAACGAGATGTCAAAGGCGTGTCCGGTGTTGTAGTTGTAATAGTTGTTGACGGCCTGGATGATCTGGGTGCCGGACTCGGAGCCAATCTTGGGGGCGCGACCCGAGACGTCGTGGAGGTAGTTCTTGTCGAAGGTGATCTTGTCGAGCTTGCCGACCATCATGATGGTCCAGTAGTGCTTGTTGTTGCAGGTACGGGAGTAGCTGGTCTTGCCGTCGAACTCGTTGTTCGAGAGAGTGGCCGTGTTGGCATCGAAGCTGGGGTAACGTCAGTCAACGGTCATGGTATGGGAAGCTGAGGCGGACTGACTGCGAAACGAACATCTGGCGACCAACGCGTGTGAACTGTAAAAAATGTTAGTCAGGAAAAGCCCGCACTCCTTAGAATATCAGCAGTTACACACCTTGTTGTGGTCGATCCAGACACCGTTGTTCTGACCCTCAAGGCTGATGCCATCGCCACCCCAAATGTGCTGGGGGTTCAGGTTCTGATCTTACAGTCAGTAATCGACACTTTCAGAAGAACGGCGAGAAACCCTACATCAATGTGGAGGTTCTGGATGATGACATTCGAGGCCCCCTGCTTCAGACGCAGACCCTTGCCGTGCAGGACGCCCTTGTTCCCAACACCAACAATCGACTTGTTGCTGCCGACGATGATGCCCACCGTGCCAGCCTTGTCGTACGTGACCTGAACAGGGGTCTGCTCGCTGTCGCAGTCGGGCTTGATCCAGTCCTGGCCGCCGTTGAGGAACGTGCAGACATTCTTGTTGCGGCAGCCCATCTCGGTGACGCTTCCCTCGGAGCCGATGAAGTTGAAGGTCTTGTCAATGCGAATCACGCGGGGGGTATCATCCCCGAGCCATGACTTGAGCCTGGATGGATGTCAGTCTTGGTAGACGCCCTGCGCAACAATAGTTCTTACTGGGCAATGTCCTTGGGGACAGCAGGCGTAGCGGACCCGCCGCCAGTGACGCCTGCAGCGAAGCCGTAGGCCTTGCCAACGACCTGGGCAAAGGACAAAGTTGGCGCTCCAACGAGGAGCACAATTGTGGTGAAGTGCATATTTGAGACCTTGGATGCAACGAAACGGGAAACAAGTGCAATGACGGATGCCAAGAAATGAATAAAAAGAGAGCGAATGGACTGGGAACGAAGCTTGAACATGACAAGGCATGAACGGTTGTCTCCTCCGTCGCTTTATCAACGGCTTCGACCCAGCATCTTGGCAGTTGACAGTAGCACTAGCACCAGGCAGGGCCCATGATCAGGTTACTACATCGAGAACTTCCGGCATGCACAATAGGGCATTTGGGCCGGAACATTGATTCTTGAACATGCATGTCAAAGTGCGGAGAAATAAACTCATGAGCTGTGAAACTTAAGGCGCTCGTGTCAGGGCCATAGCTTCCAGCCTCTCGGGGCGATTGGGTCCGATGTCATGCTCTAAATGGAAACTTGGCCGGGGTGTCGAAAGGGGCGGGAGATGAAAGGGCTGGACGAGTGGGTTTTTGGCACCGCTGAGCTTATCGAAAGAAGCGGAAGCGCCTGGGCGTCTAGGCCGAGTCGGTCCACGAGTGCAGGGCTGGCTCGGAATAAGACTCGCTTTGTAGATCTCCGATCCACCGGCACTTCGCTTTCATATTAGAGGGGTTCCAAACGCAATCAGCGAACGTGTCGTGAGATGTAGGTACTTTGCTCACATAACAAGGATAGTGGCGGAGACGAGAAGAGGTCCCATAGCCTAGACACAAGATGGTATAAGCTTTCAGCGACCAAGGGTATGCGAGGCCCCTTCTTTGTGGGAAAAAGTAGCACGTCGAGTTCGCCGTTTCCAGCTCCCATCGCCTTTTTCAATAAGTAATCCGTCATTCATTACTGCCTGGCTGTTCCCATCCAGCGGATCTCATGATAAGGTATACACTCATAAAAGACATGATAAAGGACACTCTAAGGAACACAGCTCCGCCAAACTAACGTTCAAATAGGACAACCTCAACTTGTTGCATCGCTTACACAAAGGCAAAGAAACGCCAGCTCCGCGAATCACAATCTTTTCTCTTCCCCATCACGGATTCCGTCCACCCAGTGGAGAGCCCCGACCACGTTCGGAAGGTTGCGTGAGCGTGTCTGGTCTCCCTATCTCATCCCGAAGTTAGAGTAGAGGCCATGTGGACTGGGCACAAACACAGCCCCGGAATTGGGGCGCCGCGCGTAGGATCCCAGTTCTGGCTAGCGATTGTCTGTCGCTCACATGGAGTAAACGGGTTTGCTGCTGCTGACATCCGAGGTCAACGGCTTACAGCTCGTCACGTCGGACGCCGTCTTTCACAGCGTCGGCAGCGGCATTAACTTTCTCCTTGGCCGCATTGACCGAGTCGCCAGCGGCAGCGGTGGCCTCGTTCAGGTAAGAGGCAGCAGATGCGGCGCCCGTAGCGTAGGCGGCTTGGAGACGCGCAAGAATGCTTTCGGAGTACGATGGCTCTTTGCCCTTGATGAGCTCCTGCACAATGTTCTGAACGACCTCGTATTGCTTGGCAGCTTGCTCCGAGGCTTGTGCGGCGTACTTCTCAACGTCGGAGTACGCGTTGCCGTACCAAGCCGTGGGAGTAGGCGCGCCATACACCTGAACGCTCAAATGATGGACGACATTCTCCCAAGTATCGACGACACCTCGCTCAACGGCTTCGGCAGCATCAAGGACTTCCTGGGCTGCCGCATTGACAGTGTCTCCGACGATCGAGACAGCGGCCTCGAACCCTTCGCTGACGTAAGATGCGACGGACAGGCCGTCCTCTTGAGCACCGGATGCAACCGCATTGGCAGAAGCGGTAGCAACAGATGCAACAGACGACGCGGTTCCGGCTAGGTTGGTGGGGGTGGCTGTGGCGGTGAGAGAGCTCATGGCAGCGGACGCCGCAGAGAGGAACTCCGAGTAGCGGGCGTGAGCAGCACCCAGACCAGCGTAATAGTTGTATTTGGCCTGGTCCAGGAGCTTTTCGGTTGAGGCAGTCGGTGTGGCCGTGGCGAGGCCCAGGGCAATCTTGGCAGACTCGTACTGTTCCTCAGCCCAGGCACGGCCCTCCTGCAAGCGTTGAGACGCCAATGACTCGACCGAGGCCCAATCGTACGAGGGAGAGGCGGCAGCAGTGGGGGTGCCATAGACACGCCTCGACGCAGCTTCCAGAGCTTCGCTGAGACGGGAGTTGGCTGCATCCATAGCTCCGGCGTAGGCACCAGAGACGGAGGCGAACATCTTCTCTTGCACGGGCTCCGGCTCCGGAGTGCCGTAGAGCTGAGCAGACACAGCTGACATGGCGAGCGAGTATTTCTCAGATGCTTGAGCAACAGCGTGGGAGTAGGCCTCCTGTGCCTTTCCGGAAAGACTCTCAACAGTGCTCTCGTCATCGTCGAGGATAGGTCCTTTGCGGTTGGCGACCGACTGAGCGGCAACTCCAAGGAAAGCAGGTTTGACTGTCTCTGTCTCAGCAGAGACGGGCTGGTCCTCCACAGATTCGGGGATGATTTCTTCCTCGAGCTGCTCCTCAAGATGCTCCTCAGCCTTTTCCTCGGGAGTCACAGGCTTCTGGGCGTCATCTTCGGCAGGCGATGAGCCCGTGTTATTGACGACGAAGGTTTGATCATCCCCCTCAATCACTGTTGAGGCCAGGTCGTCGTGGGCAGAGGCGCTACCTGCAATGATGGTAGAGCCATCGCTGATAACGCTGCTGGCCGCGTCAGAAGCTTGAGAGACCACGCTCTCGACAACGCTGGAGGCAGCATCGGTCGCACTGCTGACCTGTGAGAGAATAGATTGTTCCTCAAGGAGATTGTCGGCGGGCGACTCATCCTCGAGGACATTGGCAGCAGCTTCAAGCGGGTCTTCCTGGGGTGCGGACGAGCCGTCAATGGGAAGATCAGTGGCGGGAGACTCGTCCTCGATGATGTGAGCAGCTTCTTCGAGAGGATCGGCTTCAGGGGCGGAGCTGGCATCGGTGATAGCTTGAGCAGCCTTGGATTCCTCTGCAGCGCGAGATGCCTCAGCCTCGGCCTCCGCAGCTCGAGACTCTTCTGCAGCACGAGAAGCAGCGGCAGCTTGCGCGGCAGCAAAGGCAGCGCCCTTGGCCTTAGCCTCTTCCGCAGCCTCGGAAGCGGAGCGCATGGCATCGCTGTCGAAGTTGTCGGATGAATCACCAGCGACAATCTTCCAAAGGCCGACCTGCTTGAGCCTGACAAGTTCCTGTGCCGCTGATTGCGCAGCTGCCATACCGGAGTCCTCAATCTTGCCAGAAGCTTCACGAGCATCCTCAAGTGCCGGATGGGTAATGATAAGCTTCTTGAGGTCGTTGGTCCACTCGTCAAAACGGTACTTGAGTTCGTGGAACTTGGCCCAGTCCTTGTAGGTCACGCCATCCATCCAAGCCCATTTCATGCCAATGCGCTGCAGGGCCAAATCGCGGATGCTGTCCAGGATCTTGAAGTGGGACTCAGCGGCGTCGGTGATAGCCGCCTCCATATCGAGCTCGAAGCTCTCCTTCCAAGCACGGATCTCTTGGGCCTTCTCTTTGACGGCTAGACCAGCACGTCGAACGGCAGCGTTCAGATCCTGCTCACCAGCCGCACGGTCATCGCCCGCGTTCTTGACAATCACCATGATGTCGTTCTGCAGAGCCTCAACCTCAGCCTTGGACGTGGCCTGGAGACCCTTTAGGAGGCTGGCGCCGATGTCGTCGACGTTCTCCTTGACCATGCGCTGAGATATCTCCTCGATACGGTCTTCGATTTCGCTGGCACCCTCGTCAGCTGCCTTGGCGAACTTGGTCTGCCAGCTTTCGAGGTCCTCAGCAACGGTTTCACGGGTTGTCTTGCGGAGATCAGACTCGTTGACGTCGGCGGGCGGCGCAACAACTTGCTCGCTGGCGTCATGCTTGGCTACATTGACAGCGACCGGGATATGGGTGGCACTCTCGATTTTGGATGCGGAAGCAATGCTCGACGAAACGCTGGACGTGGCCGAGGATACCGCAGAGGACGCAGGCTTGACGAAAGAGGAGGCTTCGGAACTGATGCTACTTGATGTCTTTAGCTGTGGTACATGAAGAGGAGGGCAATTGCAGAGATGGCTTACCCTTCCTGCACGCTTTCAACGGCAGCCTTTGACTTGTCCTTGTAACGCCCGAGGCGCTGTCCAATCCTTGCAAGCTGCGGCTCGACGTTTTTGACGTACAAAACACGTACTTGAGGCCAGACAGTCGTATCAAGGAAGACAAATGTCTTGTTCCATGCCCAGTTCGCAGAAGGGATGATCGTGTCGGTGGTAAATTGAGCGGCTGCATCGTAACCCTGGACGGCGTAGGGTTGCGCGAGGATGTATGCAGGAAGCAGAAACTCATGATAGGTCTGGAGAGCGCTGGTTCGAGCAATATCATAGTAAGGAGTTGCTGCTTCGGACAGCTTGGCGACGTGAGGAGCCACCGTCTCGTCATACTTATCAGTGGCGGCCTTCTGATAAACAGCAAGTTGGGGGGAAACGTTCTGGGACCATTGAGCTTGGCCATATGCTTGGGCCTGGCGCAGAGTAGGCGCACCGTACTTGGTGGCATAGCCCTTGACTGGTGTCAAGACGCGCTCGTTGGCAATGTTGTAGTATGGCTGGGCCAGCTCCACGTAGGGCGCAGCGTATGTTTCGTAGTATGGCTCGACGTGAGGTGCCAGGACATTCTTTGCTTGGAAGTAGGTGCGGCACGCGAGAGGCGATGACTCGTCGCAGTCTTCTAACGTTGAAGGGCATCGGAAAAGAACTGTGATGATGGTCCACCAGGTTGCGATCCTAATGATGGGTTCAGTCAGACAGTGTCGAAGCCAGCGACGGAGACACGTCAATTTCTTCAGCATACCTGGCAATGATGCTAAACAGGCGACCGACCAGGCTGGGGCCCTGACGCGGCGCGTTCCTCTTGACGCCAATAGAATGGCCGTTCATCTTTCCGTTTGGTGTTTTCGAATAGCCGTTGGTGTGGCTGCTGGAAACCTCCATGGCGGAGGTGCGGTGAAGCGAAAGCTTCGCCTGCAGGAGGGAATCACGTCGTGTGGTGGGTACTTGTCGTTATCGCTCTCTCGGTCGGCGACGATACTGGACGTCAAAACAGTGGCGGCCACTCCAACCTGATTTCCGCGTAGCTGCGGGACTTTGTTAGTCGAAAAATGTTGGAACAAAAGAATTACCTGGCTGCGCAGGACGGAGTGTTCGGACGACAGCTTTTTTTCACAGTCGCGAGTGCAGAAGGATGGATGATCCCTCTCTGCATGGGCCAGACCAGCGACACTCGCATGCGAGGCTGGAACAGCAGAAGTGGGGCACGGGGAGCTTCCTTACCCTGTTCTGTGCCGAGATGCAACGTCGGATGGACGATGCGACGACTGCTGGGTTCGCCTGATGTTTCGAAATGGAGAGCGTCCAACGTTGACAGAATCTCCGAACGGTTGTTGAACGCGTTTCGAAATGCGAAGATAAGTTGGTTAGAGTGAGGTTGCGAGATCCAAGTCTGGTCGGCAGCACAAAGAAGACAACGCCCAAGGATTCAAGGCAAAAGCATGATAAGCATGTGGTCAGGGGAGCTTCTTCCTGCACGCTGAGGTAGCGTGCTCACCCATGGCTTCCCAAGGCCAGTCCCTTCGCGGTCCCCACTCCTGTCCAAAACGCCCGAGCTGTAACGAGGGGCTGAGAGGCTTGCCAGGCCAAGTTTGGGGATGCGCTAGGCGAGGGATCAAAGTGGATCTCACCACCACCCAGGTGGCGGCCCAGTGACCACTCAGCCACTCGTTCGTCGTGGTTCAGACCGACGTCATCTCTGGGCAGCTTGTTCCTTGTGACATCAACCCTGTACCGCTGAAGTATTCAGATGGTTGCATCACTCGATTGACTTGGACTGCACCTTCGTTAGTTGTGGTCATGCTGCTCCCATCTCTTCTTCACAAAAGTCTGTTGTCGATACAATCCGACCGAAACACAGATTCCTCGAACACGCGACAGACTCTTCAACGGTCTGGTGTCGAGTTGATGCTGTGCAGCCTAGGTAGCGCTAGGATATGGCCTGTCACAAGCCAACCATGGACGTAGTTCGCCTGATGACGTTTGCCTGCAGCTTATTTCGTGCCTTGCCTTTCGTCCTCCTGCATGTTTAGCACTGCGAAGATAGGAGAAGCGGCACAACTCGAGTCCCGTTTTCTCCCTTGATTGTCAGTCAGGCTTTTAGCATGATGAGCTTATTGTCCATGTATCCACCTGGCTGCGCGCCGAAGGGATAGTAACAGCCTCGAAACAAAGCAGTTGGCTGGCAGGTGGGACACAGCGCCTGTCGACCTCTATGCACTGGGCAGTTGTGGCGCATGCCTCTTCAGACAGTCTTTATTCCGGATTGCACTCAAAAGCATACACTTGATACAAAAGAGATCTTCGTGATTTGGCTTCGTTTTGGGTGAGAACTGCGATTTCAGACTGCTTAATGGCTGGTCGAGCTTCGTAGAGGCTTGAAGGCGATGATGTCTTGTTCTCAATAGAAGGCTGGAATCATCTTTTAATGGATTGCAGCCCGAGCCAGGTTTCCATCCATTCCCACACAGAGTCACGTGCGTTAAAGCGTGAGGTGCTTCTTATCGGATCGCGACTACCTTATCGCTACATTTCGGCTCCTGTGGATTCGTCAGGAACCGCTACCTGCTGTCACCAACCTTATTACCTAGTTGTCAGAGCCGCCCTTCAACCTGCCCGACCTCAACCTACCAGCGGCATACTTTGTCGGATTGACAGCCAGCACTCAATACCCATCAGCGGCCGACCTCTTGGACGTTACCTATCCCCCCTCCCCTTCGAGCGACACCTCGCGGCATTCGACCGACCCCCTGCGGAGTGCGTGCCCCTCCGACAAATACGGAATCGACGACAGCATCCACATTTCCCGAAAGACCACGCGCCTGAGCTGACGGTGTGACTTGCCCGGCGACGCTTGTTTGTCAGTTTCCCGACAGTGAAAGGCGACAAGTCCCATGCCTCCATAATCTGTCGCCAGTTGTCGGCGATCAATTTCGACCCCTCGAAAAGCTACCTACAACATGGCGGATCCGGCAATAGAGCCCTTCATGACTGCCGACGCCCTCGCACATCCTCGCCGCCGACTCTCCGCATCAACAACGGCTGATCAGGGCCGGCCGAAGACCTCACTGCCGGAGACCAACAACCTTGATCCCGATACTTGCAGGATATGTCGAGGTGAGGCGACACCCGACGAACCGCTTTTCTACCCCTGCAAATGCAGCGGCAGTATCAAATATGTGCACCAAGAGTGCCTGATGGAATGGCTGTCGCACTCGCAGAAGAAGCACTGCGAGCTGTGCAAAACGCCTTTCCGATTCACTAAGCTGTACTCGCCTAAAATGCCGAACACACTCCCCGTCCATGTCTTTATCGGCCATGTAGCGAAATATCTCTTTCGGAACATCTTGACGTGGCTCCGGGCCGGCTTGGTGGCAGTGGTCTGGCTCTGCTGGCTACCTTGGCTCATGCGTTCTGTCTGGTCGTTTCTGTTTTGGCTGAGCGACGAAGGCCTTGGTGGTGGACAGTTCTGGATCCCCGCCAACATCTCGGCATCGCATCCCGGACACCCATACATCGGCTTGAAGTACCTTGACGCCTGCCCTCTCAACAAGTCCGCTTACAAGTCAGCCATGAGTCCGAATCTTGGACGCAACATGAATGGACTCTTGCAGACCCATTCCACAGCACCTTTCTCCGGGTCATGGCACGGATTCGACATCACCACCGATGACTCCTTGACTGCAGGTATGCTGAGGCTCTTTTTTGGGTCCATGCCGCCCTCCTTCACAGTAAGCCATAGTATCCCTGGGGCTGCTACGTCCTTGGATCCGCATGCGTCCCTCCTGAGTAACGTTTCGTTCCTTCGAAACTTTTCGCGCTATCCCGTACTAAACCGGACGCTCATCAACATCTTCGAGGGTCAGATCATTACCATCCTGGTCATTATCTGTTTCATTCTTGTCATTCTGGTCCGTGACTACGTGGTTCAGCAACAACCCGAGATTAACATGCGAGCTGCTTTTGCTGCTAATGAGCAGGAGCAGCACCAGCACCAGCATCAACACGAAAATGATGAAGAACAGCGAATGGCCGCACAAGTAGAGAATCTTCCGGGGCCAGACGACGATTGGATTGACCAAGACGACGACGGATCTGCTGCAGAGTGGCAAAATCAGGTGCTCGACTTACCTTTTGGGAACATTGGCCCACGCTGGGAGCAGGACAATAACCAAGCCGAGGGTTCCAACGCGCCTTTTGCCCAACCGCAGCCTCGATCAAGCGCGGAGGAGCAGGCCGAAGCTTCAGAGTTAGTGACCGATACCCTCGCGAGTCTTGCCCCGTCTCCGGCACAAACCTCCGATGGTATAGACACGGAGCAGCCACAAAGCCCCGTAGCTACGGTCCACGAGTATCTGAGAATCTATCGGCAATCGAACGGTGATCCGCACCTTATCCTCCAAGCCATTCAGGATGAGGGCTTGGAGGACAAGCTTGGATACTGGGCCCGTGTCACCAGGTCCATGATTGATAAGACGAACGGCAATCCGCCCCAACAACCCAGCACTGAGGAAGGGCAACAGTCGCGAGGACATGGATGGGCTGATGGGCCATCAGGGGAAGAACCCCGAATTGTACAGCTTCCTCTACCTTCAACGCCTGAATTCGCCTGGCATGGCGGCATGACGAGTGCTAATGCCGATTTTCCGGAGGCCAAGGGCAAAGAAAAGGAATATGAGGTGCCCGAGGAGTCTCAAGCTTCGCCCATTGCTTCCGGGTCATCATCATCGTGGAACAATGCTCTGAGGCCTCGGTCTGTCTCGGATGGCCCCCAGAGAGCAGCTACCGTCAACCCCCTGGCCAACAACAGCTGGTCGTTCTCGGCTTTGCCAGCCGAGGCTCCTGCACGCGTAAACGCATCTTCACCGGAACTTCCAGAAGTAACAGAGCAGCCCGATGATGCGTGGGAGAGGACTGGCGCACCAAGAACGCCGACTCCAGTTGACTGGACCTGGACGCCTGCCGCAGGAGAAGAGACCGAGGAGCTTCAGGCACAAATTGATGCCTCAAACTTGGATGACGTTAGCACTGCGGCCTCAGCATCAGGTTCCGCACATGCTGCCTTTGAACACCTTGAGGTCGACCACGCCAGTCTCGATGTAAACCCCGATGGCGCAGACATTCGAGAACATGAGCCTGTTGTGGCAAATGCCGGCGATGTGGCGGTGCCTCAGCGACCCCCTCTCCAGCGCGGCGTCATGGATCGCCTTGCTGATTTCATGTGGGATGGCATAGAAGCTCGGGAGCTAGACATCGGAGCTGGTCATGCTGACATTCTCGACGCTGATCATGTTCACGATAATGTTGGTGATGACGAGCTTTTTGAAGAGGCGATCCCTCTGGAAGGCAATAACCCTAACGACTTTGCACGCGATCCAGAAGTTGTCGAGGCGGCAGTGGCAGCGGGCTTGGATCCCGAAGCCATGGATGATGCGGAAGATATCGAGGGCGTACTGGAGCTCATTGGCATGCGTGGACCCCTTGTGGGACTGTTCCAAAATGCTGTTTTCTGCGCAGTCTTGGTTTCCGTCACCATCTTCATCTGCGTCTTCATTCCCTATAATATCGGGCGCGTCAGCGTGTGGGCGGCAATGAACCCGATGCGCTTGGTTCGCATGCTGTTCAGCTTCACGAAGTTCATCCAGGACGTTGCTGTCGCTATAGTGGCGGGATTCTGTAGCCTACTATTGGGTGCCATGTTCATGGTCGGCAACGCTCTTGGACTATGGTTGCCCTCAGCGCGGCGGTCCTGCGAGAACCTTATGACTCATACTTGGAGTCTGTCAGACCATGCAGGCAAGCGAATCCTCGAGAGTCTGAGTGGTGAACTTCCCCTGATTTCTGCTACGGAAATGCAGAATTTCTCTGCCATCAGCCATGAGGCATTGCAAACGCTTAAGAGTCAAGTCGCGTCCCTGTTTGTCGGCGTCGGGGCTGCTTTAGACGTTATCTTCGACGGGAAACTCCCCAGCAAGGCGTTGCACTTCATCGTTTGGGCAGGCAAGGTTGGAGTCTCTGCCCTGGACTTGGTGCGTGACTTACCGCATCTTCTTCTCAACCCCGCCAGTTGGGTCATCAGTTTC